CAAGGCCCAAACATGGCATTCAGCCCAATTTACTGAAATTCTTTCTAAAACATATAAGTATCAAATGGTTTCAACAAGGTATGCAACTTTACGGTTGCTTTGGGACGAACCAAGTCACAAATCCCCAATAGTGCACGCCTACACGCCCGTCACCTAGCATGTGCGTCACCTCAAAATAATAGAATGATACGAAATCCGAGGTTTCATACCCTCAGGACTAGATTTACAATCGTTACTTACCTCAAACCGGTCAAATCTCTACCCTGCAATGCTCTTGCCTCTAGACACTCCCTCCAAATGCTCCAAATCTATTCACAATCAGTATAATACCATCAATATATGCTAATGGAATGAATTCCACAAGAAAAGCTTCAAAATTAGACCAAAATCCGAAATTGGCTCAAAAATCGCATGTGAGGCCGACGTCTCCGAACCCGACAAAAGTTACAAAATCCGAAAGCCCATTCAACCACGAGTCTACCCATACCAATTTTTCCAAAATCCGACCTCAACTCGACCCTCAAATCTACAAATCTAATTTCCAAATTTCTAAGTTTCAATCTCTGATTTACACCTTAAAATCATGTAATCTAGTCGGATTACTCCATGATAATTCAATATTATGGAGTAGAAATGATCACAAGGGACTTACCTCAAGTTTTCCTTGAAAATATATCAAAAATCGCCTCTTCTCAAGCTCCAATTTGTCAAAAATGGCAAATGGAACGAAGTCCCTGTTTTTATAATTCTGCCCAGACATCCTCGGTTCTGCCTCGATCTTGGCCCTCTATCTTGGCCTTCGATCGAGGTCCTCGATCTTGGTCCTCGGTCATGCCCCTCGATCCCGGTTCTCGATCCCGGTTCTCGATCCTGGGCTCGATCATGGCTTCGATCATTTCCCTCGACCATGAGCTCGATCTGGGCTTCGATCGTGCCCCTCGACCCTGAGCTCGATCATGCCTTCGATCGTGGCCCTTGACTCTGGGCTCTATCATGGCCNCCAACAGAAGGAAATTGCAGCAGCTGTTCTAGTTCAATTTTTTGATCTGTTAACCATCCGAAACTCACCCGAGGCCCTCGGGACCTCGACCAAATATACCAACAAGTCCTAAAACATCATACGAACTTAGTCGAATCCTCAAATCACCTCAAACAACGCTAAAACCATGAATTACACCCCAATTCAAGCCTAATGAACTTTGAAATTTCTAATTTCTACAAACAACTCCGGAACCTATCAAATCACGTCCGATTGACCTCAAATTTTGCACACAAGTCCTAAATGATATAACAGAGGTATTACAATTTTTAGAATCGGATTCTGACCCCGATATCAAAAAGTCAAGCCCCCGGTCAAACTTCTCAAAAATTAAAACTTTCGGCATTTCAAGCTTAATTCCTCTACGGACTCCCAAATAATATTCCGAACATGCTCCTAAGTCCAAAATCACCATACGGAGCTATTGGAATCATCAAAATTCTAATCTGAGGTTGTTTACATATAGGTCCATATCCGATCCACTTTTCTAACTTAAAATTTTTAATTATGAGACTAAGTGTCTCATTTCACTCCGAGTTTCTTCCGGACTCGAACAAACTAATCCGATATAACATAATATAGTTGAATAACACAAAAAGAAGTAGGAATGGGGAAAATAGGGTTATAACTCTCGAAACGACCGACCGGGTCGTTACACATATTAAGCAAGTAGGTGACCAGCAGGTGCATCACCTATTTGCTTAGAAGGAAAGGCCACAATATTTTTTATAAGATAAGGGAGGGTTTCAGCCAAAGGGACCTCCTAAAGAGGCTGATTAACCTCTTTCTATATCACTTTATTTCAGCCAAATTCACTCCCAAAGGAAACCATTGAAGCTGTCTCCAAAGATGCCCATTCCAAGATCCCTCAAGCCCTAAGTTATGTTCTCTTCTTTTTAAGTTCTAGTTGGAGGAAAACCTAAGAGTTGAAAACCCCAGGTTAGGAGCGGAGCTCTTCACCAAGTAAGGTAATTATACCGCACTCTTACATCCTTTTTTCTGCTGGAAAGTTAGAGAAATTTTTTCCATAATATTAAGAACTCACGAGACGGTGATCGGAAGTCATGAGTCTGAGTTGTTCAAATTGTAGTAGACTATTTTGTGGGTTGTTTTCTTGTTGTTATCATGTTTTCTCTTGTGCTACTATTTTAAGGAGTTTTGGAGGAGAAAGGGTGTGGAGAAGCACCACATAACGGTGCGGTTATGGGCTGGTCATTCGTCGTTACATTTTCAAGTTGTTTGACACTAGTATGGTTGTCGTTTTGTGTAAAGTAAACTTGTAGGATCTTCTCTTGTTGTGATTTATTGGAGGGCTTCTAATCAAGGTGTGTAATGCTATCTCTTTTTACCCCTTTCGGCATGAATATGCCTTAACAACAATTTTTCTAAAGCAAATCTTAATGAAACATCTCGTCGTAGATACTCCACCCATGATATATCTAGGTTCATATGTTTACCTTTGATGTTTTTTTGTTGGTTGATGTTCCTTAGTACATATATATTGAGTCTCGATTCACTCGGAAGATTAATATATTGGAAGTAACATCTATAATGTTGTTCAGCAAACTAACGACCTTACATCATTCTAAATAGTTTGTCACTGGATTGAGTAATGAGCCTCAGAGTTATTCTTATGGGTATATATATACACACACACATCGGCTGAGCTATACTTAGACGAGGTGGACATATGTGGCATATGTACTTCTAGGTTGGTCCTTGCACTTTTCTGTACTTATTGATTCTTTTATATGCTATTCATTCCTTACATACACGGATATTTCTTTTCGTACAGACGCCCTTTTACTGGGGCGCTGCATTTCATGTTGCAGGTCTAAAGTAAGTAGTTGCTCATGTTTAGTGGTAGATCAGTAAGCTCTATGTCTTATGGGGTTAGCCGAGTCTAGAGGTTTTCGTATGATTATGTATATATATATATATATATATTAGGGGTAGGTCGGGGCCCTGTCTCAACCATTTAATAAATGTTTTACTCTTAGAGGCTTGTAAACTGATTATTGTTATGTCTTTCCTATCTTTATATTGTTGGATGTTGTGGCCTTGTCGGCCCCAAATGTTCTATACATTCTGGTTATGTTATTTTAGGTTGGTATGCTCGGTCAAGCGAGAGGGTGCCGGTCTCGCTTCCCGAAGTTTGGGACATGACAAATTTGGTATCAGAGCAGGTGTGTGTCCTAGGGAGTCTACAAGTTGTCTCTAGTAGAGTCTTGCTTATGGATATATTGTGCACCACATTTATAATCAAGAGGCTATCGGGCATTAGGGGATGGTCACATTTCTTTCATACATTAGATCGTGTGATAGAGCTGAGTAATAAGAATTCGATTCCTATGGACCTTGATTATGTTACAAAAATGCCTACGACCAGAAACACGACTACTAGCTTGAGGAAAAGTATGATGGTGGGAAAAGGTACTAATAGAGTCCCCCCCGCCAGTATTGGTTAGGGTGAGGCCCAGAGGGAGATGCCCCCTCAGGCAACTATGACTCTGCCAGCACTAGAGGAGCTTAGAGGGCCTCATCACCTCCAGTTCCTCCACCTAGTACATTTGACCAGGATATTTGGAGTGCAGTACAATAGCTGACTCGCTTAGTGGCCTTACAAACTCAGAGCCAGATAGGAGCAGTCCCTAGTGTTGGACCTTCAGAGAGGTCGAGTAGTTCGAAAGTTCGGGAGTTCATTAATTTGGACCGCCTACTATTTATAGGTTCTGACCAAAATGAGGACCCTTAGGACTTAATTGATCACCTTTAGAGGGCACTCTGAGTGATGAATGCTACCGAGACTGAAATAGTAGGGTTGCCATCGTATAGATTGAAGGATATGTTTGTCTTATGGTATGAGGCTTGGGAGAGGTCCACGGAATCGGATGCACCTCCAATTGTGTGGAAGGAGGTTTTAGAGGCTTTTCTAGATCACTATTTGCCACTAGAGATTCGATAGGCCAGAATTGATAGGTTCTTAGCTCTAAGGGAAAGGAAATATGAGTTTGCGAGAATATAGTCTGAGACTTGATTCCCTGGCAAGGTATGCTCCGACTATTGTGGCTATGATGCAAGATAGGTTACATCTGTTTGTGGCTGGTCTTGAGCCACACTTGATTGGAGACTATATGGTAGCATATCTGCACCAAGATATGGATATCTCCCGAATACTGGCGTTTGCTCAGAACTTAGAGGAGTGTAAGAACCATCTACAGGTTACTTGAAATATAGAGAGGGAGCGGCATAAGAGAGCTAGATCTGTTGGGTACTATGGAGAGTCGTGGGATGGTTTCAGACCATAATCTTCTAGACGACCATCTTATCTTGCTAGTAGCTCTCCGCCTAGGTTTTGGGGGCCCAGGTATGATCGTTATGCCTAGTATGGATCAGTCAAAGCTTGCAGGCATAGGTTCTCAATATCAAGAGAGCTCGAGTCAGATGAGGTCATCTTTGCCGCCCTGCAGTTAGTATGGTAAGACGCATCCTCGACCGTGTCAGTAAGGTTTCAATGCATGTTATTGGTGTGGGTTTTCAGGAATGCACGAGGAGAGGAGAAGGTGGCATGGCTCAACCAACTGGGTCAGTAGCAGCTTCATCATCGATAGTACGTCCTTCAGGGAATGGTCCATAGGCACCAGGCGGTCGAGGTAGAGGTAGAGGAGGAGTATGTAGTTTAGTGGTACCCAGAACCACATTTGTGCCTTGGTGGGTCGAGTGGACCTGGTGTCATCACCATACATTATTATAGGTATATTATATGTCGCTAGTTATTTATGCATTGATAGATCGAGGCTCTACTCTATCATATGTCACTCTGGTTGTCACTGATAAGTTTGGGGTAGAACCTGATACGCCATTTGTTGTATCAACACCAGTTGGTGAATCGGTTATTGTTGGACAGGTCTATCGAGGTTGTGCGGTGGTAATTTGTAGTCGTCATCCCTTTGCTGATCTGGTCGAGCTAGAAATGATGGATTTCGATGTTGTCATGGGCATGGACCGACTAGCATCTTGCTATGCCATGGTTGATTGTCACACAAAGGTTGTTAGATTTCAATTTTCGGGTGAGCCAGTCCTAGATTGGAAGGGTAACGTTGTGACCTCTAAGGGCAAGTTTATTTCCTACCTTAAGGTGAGGAAGATGATCTATATGGGGTACATCTATCATCTAGTTTGAGTCATAGATACAGATGTTGAACCACCAACTATTAAGTCCATTCTAGTGCTTAATGAATATCCAGACGCGTTTCCGGAAGAAGTCCCGGGTATTCCTCCAGAGAGGGAGATTAATTTTGGTATTGATGTGCTTCTAGACACCCAACCGATATATATCCATCCACACCGAATGGCTCTTACCGAGCTGAAGTAATTGATGAAGCAGTTGAAGGATTTTCTGGAAAGAGGCTTCATCAGGCATACTACTTCATTGTGGGGTGCACCAGTGTTGTCCGTGCCCAAGAAAGTTAGTTCGTTGAGGATGTGCATCGATTACTGACAACTGAATAAGGTTACCATAAAAAAATTCACCTCTAAGGATTGATGACCTATTTGATCAGTTACAGGGTGACAAGTGCTTCTCAAAGATTGATTTAAGGTCAAGATACCATCAGCTGAGAGTTAAGGAGAAGGATATTCTAAAAACGGACTTCAGTTCGGGCTTACTAATGCACCTGTGAACTTTATGGATTTAATGAATCGTGCCTTCAAGTCATTCATTGATATATTTATGATCGTGTTTATTGATGATATTCTGGTGTATTCGCCGTCAGAAGATGAGCACGTGAACCATCTACGAGCAGTGTAATAAATGCTCCACGATCGTAAATTATATGCTAAGTACTCCAAGTGTTAATTCTGGCTGAATTCCATGGAATTTCTTGTCCAAATAGTCTCCGGCAAGGGTATCAAAGTTGACAGTCAAAAGATTGAGGCTGTAAATAATTGGTCGAGGCCCACGACTCCATTAGAGGTTCGAAGTTTTTTGAGTTTAGCAGGCTATTATAGGATATTTGTAGAGGGTTTCTCCTCCATTTCAGCACCTCTAATGAAGCTGACTTAGAAGGAGACTAAGTTCCAGTGGTCCAATGCTTGTGAGTGGAGTTTCAAGAGTTGAAGTACATGTTGACATCAAAATCTTTGTTGACTCTTCTAGAATGTACAGAAGGGTATGCTATCTATTCTTATGTTTCGAGTATTGGATTGGGTTTTGTTCTGATGCAACACGACAAGGTTATTGTTTTTACTTTGAGACAGTTGAAAAGCACAAAACAAGTTATCCGACACACGATATTGAGTTAGAAACGGTTGTTTTTGCTCTAAAGATATAGTGACATTACTTGTATGGGATTAATATTGGTATATTCAATTATCCTAAGAGTCTCTAGTACATCTTCAAGCAGAAGAAGCTGAATTTAAGGAAAGGAAGGTGGCTCAAATTGTTGAAAGATTATGATGTCGACATTCTGTACCATCCCGGCAGGCTAATATGGTAGTTGGCGCTTTTAGTGGCAAGTCTATGGGTAGTTTGAAGCATGCGAAAGCTGACAAGATATAGATAACTTAAAATCTGTATTAGTTATCTAGTTTGAGGGTCCGATTATTAGACTCAGATGATGGGAGCATTGTCATTCAGAATACAATAGAATCGTCTTTAATAGCAGAGATGAAAGAGCGATAATATAAAGATCCTGAGTTAGTAAATTCGAGAGATAGAATTCAGCAACAAAAGAAGTCGGTATTAGAGCTTAAGGAAGATAGAATCCTTAGATATCGAGGCTGAATGTGTGTTCCAGATATGGGGAAGCTTCAAGAACGAATAATGAAGAAAGTCATCATTCACGGTATTTTGTTCATCCAGGGTCGACAAAGATGTATCATAACCTCAAGGAGGTTTATTTGTGGAATGATGTGAAGAAGAATATTGCAGATTTCTTTGCTGAGTGTTAGCTTAGAACATAGAAATCTCGATTGGAAATGGGAGATGATTAATAAGGATTTTATCACAAGTTTGCCCCGCTCTTAACCTAAGTATGATGCTATCTGGGTGATTGTTGACAGGCTTACGAAGTGGCTCATTTTCTATTGATTAGGACCAACGGCCGCAGACTATGAAAAATTATATATAAATGAGGTAGTTTGACTTCATGGTGTTCCAATCTCTATTATATCTGATAGCGGTGCTCAGTTTGCAACAAACATTCGGAGGTCCTTTCTAAGAGGTTTGGGTACCAGAGTAAACCTTAGCACATCATTTCATCCACAAATAGACGGGCAGGCCGAGCACGCTATTCAGACGCTCGAACATATATTGTGATCTTGTGTGCTGGACTTAAAGGGTAATTGGAATGATATTTACCTCTCATAAAGTTTTTTTGTAATAACAGCTATCATTCCAGCATCAAAGATGGCTCCTTATGAATTATTGTATTGGTGGAACTATAGGTCCTTGATTGGATGGTACGAGGTCGGGGAGACAAAGTTACTTGGGCCCGATTTGGTCCATCAAGTTATAGACAATGTGAAGTTAATACAAGATTGATTATTGACATCTCAAAGTCGGCAGATATCTTATTCTGATGTTTAATGCCGGAACTTGGATTTGATGTTGTTGATTGGGTTTTCCTAATGGTGTCTCCTATGAAAGGCGTCATGCGATTCGGCAAGAAGAAAAGCTTAGCCCACGATACATCGGGTTGTACCAAATCATTTGGAAGATAGGATAAGTGGCTTATTAGCTTGAGTTACCTCCAGAATTTGAATCAGTTCACCCGGTCTTCCACGTGACGATGTTGCAAAAGTATATGGGAGACTCCTCTCATGTTGTGACAATTGATGATATTTAGATCACAGAGGATTTATCTTATGAAGACTCTTTTGCCATTCTTGACTGTCAGGTTTGGAAGCTGAGAACCAAGGAAGTAGCCTCGGTAAAGGTACTTTGGAGGAATCAGAATGTCGAAGAGATGACATGGGAAGCTAAGGAAGAATAAGATATGGATATCCTTACTTGTTTCAAACCAAAGGTTCTTGAAGACTACTATTCGTCATATGTTCTTTTGTTGTGTTATATGCGAGTAGACTTATCTTTCATTCTGTGATCAGGTAGCTATCAGAATTAAGATGTCATAGTGTCGCCAAGGTCCAGACTATAAGTGGATGGGGTGAGTTTCCCTTTTGTAATATGTATATTGGTATTGGATGGCCTAGTGTGGCCCGGTGTTATGGTTATCAATTTCAATGTAGTGAGATGCATTGTGTCTTCCTGTGAGGTGTATTTTTATATTTTCTGGCTGATTGGCGGGTGGATAGTCCTATTCACAAAGGAAAATCTGCCAAATTGTTTGGAAATTCTAATAATTAAGGTTGCTTTTTTTTAGCTACAACCCTCATTCGAGAATGAATGATCCAAAGAGGGAATGATGTAATACCCCGGATATAATACCCCGTACCTTTCAACATGTGTACGGCTAAATTGAACTTGATGAATGTGCTTAAACATGAGAAAAATAAGTCATAATGAAGCCTAAAGGTCCAGGTACATATATGTGTTAAATAAAAATTAAGGTGAAGAAATAGGATATTGGACAAATAAATGAACTACTTGCTTACCCGTCCTACTTGCTTGATCTACTTGCTTACCTATCCTACTTGATTGAGCCACTTGACATAGGTCTTAATTATAAAACGAGGGCGAGATGCTTGTTTAAAATTTGAATAAGAACCAACATATATCACCTATTAAAAAAGTAGGTGACATTGTAGGTGCATCACCTACTTGCTTAAAGGAAAAGGTCACAATTTTTTAAATAAAACAAGGAGAGGGTTTCGGTCAAAGGGACCCCTTAAAGGGTCTGATTAACCTCTTTCGAACTACAACTTTATTTCATCCAAATTCACTCCCAAAGGCAGCCATTGAAGTTCTCTCCAAAGCTTCCCATTCCAAGCTCCCTCAAGCCCTAAGTTATTTTCTCTTCTTTTCAAGTTCTAGTTGGAGGAAAACGTAAAAGTTGAAGAACCCAAGTTAAGAGCTGAGATCTTCACCAAGTAAGGTAAGTATACTACTCAGTTTGTAAAGATTTGATCGATCGTTTTGTATAATTACGCCCCGTTACCCCTTTTATTACTTCACACATGTGCGTTTATGATTTTATGAATTGTGGGGTCGGTTAGTTTCGTTCTGGGAAGCTTTCAGGTTGATTTGGACCCTTGATTATTGACATACAAGTTTAAATAAGAAAATCTTGGCCAAATTTTGACTTTTGTAAAAACGGCCCTGGAACTGTGTCTTTATGACTCTGATAGCTTTGTATCGTGATTTCAGATTTAGGCGTATGCCTGAAATTGATTTTGGAAGTCCGTAGGTTGATTTGTGTGGATTTTCCGAAATTTAGAAATTTGAAGTTAAAAGGTTTGACCGTAGGTTGACTTTTAGCTATCGAGCTCGGAATTTTATTTTGGGACTTGGAATAGGTCTGTTATGGTATTCATAACTTGTCTGCAAAATTTGGTGTCGTTTGGAGTTGATTTGATAGGATTCGGACGTTTAGTTGTAATTCTAGAAGTTCTTGAACTTTACTTTGAAATTCATGCATTTTAGGGTTCGATTCGTAGTTTTAGGTATTATTTTTGTGTTTTGATTGCGCGAGCGAGTTTGTATGATATTTTTAGACTTGTGTGATTGGTTTGGTTCCCCAAGGGCTCGGGTGAGTTTCGTACGCTTAGCAGAGTGTTGATAGAGTTTATGTTTGCTGGTTTTTGCACAGGTGCCTCAGGTCTCGCATTTGCGAGTTTATGGATCACAATTGCGATGTTAGGCCAATTGTGTTGGGTTTGCATTTGCGAACCTGGTGTTTGCATTTGTGATAGGCACCTGGGGGAGCTGGTTCGTATTTGTGATCTCCATGGTCGTATTTGCGGAGGTCCAATGTTCGCAATTGCAAACTTTTCATCGCATTTGCGATGAGAGCAAGAATGGAAGGGATTCGCTTTTGCAATGGATTTTTTGCATTTGCGGGGTACACAATTTCGCATTTGCGACACATGCGACTTGACAAAAAGCTAAGGGGCGAGATGTTTGAACTCATTCTCTCATTATTTTAACCCTAGACTCGGTAGGAGGCAATTTGGAGAGGGGATTTTCACCTACAAACCTTAGGTAAGTGATTCTAATCTTTTTCTAATCATATTCCATCAACATAGCCTAGATTGTAACATCAAAATAATGTGAATCAAAGTGAAAATTTGTGAAACTTTGTCAAGTTTTTGAAAAATAAGAAATTTGAGTTTTGAGAGTCGATGTGGAATCGGATTTTGAAACATCACATATATGAACTTGTGGGGTCATGGGTAGACGGAATCTACCATTGGATCCGAGTTTTGACCGGGCGAGCCCCGGATTGACTTTTGTTGACTTTTTGAGAAAAGTATAAATATATTAGCTTTATCTATTCCAATGGAAATCCCTAGCATTGTTTGATGATATTGAGTCGATTTTGGTTAGACTTGAGTCGTGTGGAGGCTGATTTTAAGGAAAAAGTTATTTTCGAGTGTTGAATTAGCCTAATTGAGGTAAGTGTCTTGTCTAACTTTGTGTGGGGGAACTACCCTTTAGAATTGATATTCTTTGATTCAATTGTGCTAAGTGAAATCAGTGTACGCAAGGTGACAAGTGGGTACATGGGTTGTACATGGTATTTGATCGGTTTAGGCTACTTAGACTGTTTCCATGCTTTAATTGAACTGGCATATCATGTTCTAATTATCATAGTCAACCTATCATTATTTGTGTTAGTGTATCCTTACATGCCTTAATTGACTTGTTTAGCACTTGTTCTATATCCTACTTGATAAATCGTTCTCATGCTTAGTTGAACTCGTTGACTCTTTTATTATTACATGCTATCTCTTCATTGTTAATTATCATTATTTAAAGTTATTGATCGTGTTATCTCTTTCCTTATTGGTTATCATTGCTTGAAGTAATTGTTCATGCTATCCCTTTTCCTTGTTGATTTCCATTATTTGAAACTCATTGTTAAATATTATCTCTTTTATTTTGAGTTAGTCTTATCTAATATCAGGGTTATACATTATTTCTCTCATTGTTGAGTTATTTGGTGTTGAAGTTGTGAAAGTCGTTAACACGTTGAGGCGAAGTTGGTTATTGTTGAGACATCTATCTTATTGAGCATTCTACATTCATTGTTGTTGTTGATATTCTTGTATACGTTGTGGTGGAGCCATGGGCTACTATTGTGGAAACATTGGTATTGTTGTTGTTGTTGGCAAGTTGTGATATATGGGTACTTGTGGTGCGAATTATTATTGTGATATGATATTTGACGCGCATGTGGCGGTATAAGGCTTAGGGTTAATGTGCATGTGGCAGTACAAGGTGGGACTTATGTGTGTGTTGCTTGTAGGGGAACTACATGAAGCCACGCGGTATCATAAGGTGGGCTAAAGTCCGTGTAGTTATTTCGGAAAAACTGTTTTCAAAACCTATTTCAAATTTAAGGCTTACGTGGTGGTATAAGGAAAGATTGTGATTGAAATGGAGAAATGTGAATACGAGGCGATACCTCGGTTATGATTCTTGATTATACGAGGTGGTACCTCGGTTTTGATTTCATTATACATGAGGCGTTACCTCGTTGTGATTCTTGCTGCTTAATTCATGTTGTAAAGTGTTTTGGAGGGAATATTTCTTGTTGCTTCATTCTTTATTGCTATAGCAGTTGATGTCCGTACATGATCATTGTAGCCCTTTAATTGCTTCTTTTATGATATTTCCATTGTTGATTTCTGGTACTAGTTCATGCTATTATCTTGTTTCGTATTAGTTTTTTCTTCACTTTCCATTACATATCCATATTACATTTTTATGTTGTTTATTTATATCCTAGTAGGTGTCTTGACCTGGCCTTATCACTACTCTACTGAGGTTAGGCTTGATACTTACTGGTTACCGTTGTGGTGTACTCATACTACGCTTCTGCATATTTTTTGTGCAGATCCAGGTACGTCTGCTCGTGCCGGTCGTTAGAGATTACCTACTAGTTGCTTTTATCAGAGACTTCAAGGTATGCTTGCTCGGCGTCCGCAGGCCTCGAGTCACCTTCCCTTATTCTCATTTATTGTTGTATTTCCTTTCGGACAGTGATGTAGCAGTACTCTAGTTATACTCTGTAGATCTTATTACTCAGTTCCACCAATTTTGGGGAGCATATTAGTGAGACTATGTCTGTATCGGAAGGTTATCTCAGTATTCAATTTTGTTTAGTATTTTGATTATTATTTCTGCCAAGTTATTATTATTTGTTAGGCTTACCTAGTTGTAGAGACTAGGTACCATCACGACATCCTACGGAGTGAAAATTGGGGTTGTGACACAGTTACATCCTTTTTTTGCTAAAAGGTTAGAGAAATTCATTCCATAATAATAAGAACTCACGGGACGGTGATCGAAAGTTGTAGTGGATTATTTTGTGGGTTGTTTTGTGTTGTTATTGGATTTTATCATATGCTACTATTTATAGAGTTTGTGAGGAGAAAGGGTATGGAGAAACGTCAAATAATGGTGGGTTGTGGGCTGGTCGTTCTTCTTTTCATTTTCAGGTTGTTTGACACTAGTGTGGTTGTCATTTTGTGTAGAGTAAACTTGTAGGAGCTTCTCTTGTTGTGATTTATTGGAGGGCTTCTAATCAATTTATGTAATGCTATCCCTTTTGACCCATTTCGGCATGAATCTACCTTAATAGCAATTTTTCTAAAAAAAAAACTTAATAAAATGTCTCGTCGTAGATACTCCACTCATGATATCATCTAGGTTCATATGTTTACCTTTAACGTTGTTCTGTTGATTGATGTTCCTTAGCATATATATATATATAAAACAACAACAACCCAGTATAATCCCACTAGTGGGGTCTGGAGAGGGTAATGTGTATACAGACCTTACCCCTACCCTGGGGTAAATAG